AAAATAATAATTGAGTATTATATGGTGAACAATAATTAATAAAATTTTTATTTTTTATTATATCAATGAATAAATATGTATTCTAAAATCAAATAAATATTAGTACAACGTGTTAGCGGAATTATATATTAATTAACATGTTAATTTTTTTGCTTAAATAATCGCCACTTATTAAAAGATGCGAAATATGGATGATTCAAGCCTATTGTTTTTTTGTCTTGAATGCAAGATATTGACTGGTGATCATGCTGGCGACACAATGTTGATTCCTAGAATGAATATTACTCCTTCTGATCTTAGGGTTCCATTTAAGTTTCAGCGGCGGCAGTTCCCACTTATGGTTTCGTATGCCATGACCATAAACAAGAGTCAGGGACTGTCTTTATCCCACGTTGGTCTTTTTATAAATAAGTCTGTCTTTAGTCATGGTCAATTATATGTTGTTGTTTCGCGTGTGACTAATAGAAGGGGGTTGAAGATATTAGTTTGTGAGAATGAGGAGTTATTCGATAATCAAACTCATAATGTTGTGTACAAGGAGGTCTTTAATAATATATGATTGTTTCTTTTTTCAATACTATTTTATTGTACAATTTTCCTGTGTATTGTACAACTTTTATTGAATATTGAATATTAAATTATAATACTCCTCAAATGAATATATTCCGTGTATCGCACATGTCACGTACTATATATATCCCGTACATCTTTTTTTATTCATTTATATAATTATAAGGTTGGATATATGGCATTAAAATTGTGCACCTCGTGCATCGCACGGGCTCTGTACTAGTTACAATGGTGATTCAATGTAATAACTTCCATTAGAAAAAGATTATTTCAATAAAAATGTTCAGTTGGATTTAGTTGTTCCGTTGGATTTTCTATTGAATTTTGATAATTCCAACGCAGATTTTCCACAGTTGTTATTAATGAGAAAAACAAATACAATAAAATTTATATTCCAACAAAAATTCCTACAATAATAAATCATTGAAAAA